ATGCAAACAATACTAGTGTATGCGACACTGAAACATACTTCTTGCATCATATTTATACCAATATGATTTTTTTTTTACAACACCTATATGTACAGCTAGGTGTACAGTTCAGTACAGTTTCAGTTGACACTGAAATTTAAGCTCAGTATTTTTAGTTTCAATAAAAAAAAATACAAAGTACAAAGTAAATAACATTTAACATGCATGTCTGACATGCTGCAAATTTCAACATTTAAGCTAAAGCTGCCACAAGTGGTATTAAATCCATTGTGGGTGAGTACATATACACCACTGTTAGTTTGGTGCTGATTACATTGCAGATCCCATAGAGACACAAGTGGAAATGAGCATTATTGTAGCAGTGATAGTCTTATAAACAAGGGTTACTCACAAAGTGAAGGTTCCTGCATACTCCTAGGCTATATAATTACATTAGTGGCACAGAGGACACACTTTCAAATAGTTTTATGTTGGGATATTACAATTACACTATTTTTAACAATTCATGTGTATAAATAGTAAAAATGATTCATATGATTCCATTCCTACCCATTACATTAACTTTTTATTCTAACAACAAAAGCTAAAACAACATCCAACTGGCCAGCATTCATTGTTTACTTGCATTTTTGTGCCTTTCCTACCTTCTTCTTGCTATGTTTTTCAGCTCTCAGTGGATATGTGCTCTTCATCCTCTCTTAACCTTTAAATGTGCTGTGGCATATCTCTAGCCTGAGCACCTTTCAAGCATGCACCATTATTTTCAGACCACACGGGGCCCCTGTTACGACCTGAATCATGGTAAACATGGACCACTGTTCTTTGTGTAAAAAAAAATACATATTCAAAGAGTGTCAAAAGGAAATGTTCATAGAAAAAAAATGATTTGAACAAAACAGAGTGTACCAGGAATGTTGCAATGGTGGCAACCAGATCCAGGGTCTCTCTGGATGTTTTTAGTGGAAATGACAAGCTGAGAATGGCTTGTAGCACTACTCATCCATCTCTGCTCTTCCAATTAGCTTTGATAACTGACAGTTTTTCAGGGGAGGAACTGTTTATCTGAATCAGTGCAAAACACTGACATTTTGGGCTAATCTGTGGTTAAAGATCACTGTCGAAATTGAACTCATCATGATCTTGCCATCTCATTCAAGAACTCTCTGATTGTCCCGTCTGTAGAGGCAGGAAGTCTTGGTGTGGTTCTGGATGGCCAGTTATCGTTCTCGACTCACATTGCGACCCTAACTCGGTCATGCAGATTTCTCCTGTACAACATCCGGAGGATCCGACCCTTTCTCACTCGAGAGGCCACCCAGGTGCTAGTTCAGTCTCTTGTCATCTCAAGGCTTGACTACTGCAACTCGCTCTTGGCTGGTCTTCCAATGCAGGCCATTAAGCCTATGCAACTCATCCAGAATGCAGCAGCACGGCTCGTCTTCAATCTCCCCAAGTTCAGCCACGTCACCCCACTGCTGCGCTCCCTTCACTGGCTTCCTGTAGCTGCGCGCATCAGATTTAAAACCCTTATGCTTGCCTACAAAGCCAAAAATGGACCAGCCCTACTTGATGGCAATGGTGAAATCTCGAACTGTACCACGAGCCCTTCGAGCTTCGAGTATAGCTCGGCTTGACCCGCCATCCTTCAAGGCGCGCGGAAGGCAAGCATCGAGACTGTTCTTTGTGCTTGCACCCAGGTGGTGGAACGAACTCCCACTGGCTGTCCGTACAGCAGAGTCTCTCACTGTCTGAAGACACATCTCTTTATACAGCACTTAAATGAGCACTGAGTTAAGTATTGATTGTAATGTATTGTACTGCACTTATGTATTGTATTGTATTGCACTGCTCTGTGTTTAACTCTTCCTTTTTCTCTAGGTGTCAATAATGACTATTCTAGCAGTATCTGAGCTCAGGACTAACTTTCTCTCTAACCTATTAGTTACCAAAGCACTTTTTGTAAGTCGCTCTGGATAAGAGCATCTGCTAAATGCTGTAAATGTAAATGTAACTGCAACAGCATAGCTAGGGTGTGTGTTTAAATGCAGCTTTTGTTTTCAGTCTGTCAGTAAGCTTGTTTTTCAGTGATGCAGCAGAATGGAATCCCTGTATTCATTATTTTGCAGAATTCCTTATTTTGCAGGGATTTGTCTTTTTTGGGTCAGGATGCACTGAGACGTTTCAACTCTGTGATGTCACTTTGGAACATGTGTATGTCTGCATTTATCCCTTTTTTTTAATTTGCTGAAGCACTAAAACCCCTGTATAGACAGAGCCGTTAGAGTTCTCAGTCTGCTATCAAATAATCTTTAGGCTACTCTAACCTTTACAACATGTAATACACAGCCTGTGTTAAAATTAACCTTATATTGTGAGTTATATGTTAAGGGTATTCTCAACACATGTAGTCCCTCATTCAGATGGTATTGGACTGGGCAATGCAAGTGTGGTAAGCCAGCCATACAGACAGCAAAAGGGGCTCTAACAAGTTGCAAACACGATCTATTGTGAGGAACCTGGCTGTGATCAAGAAGTTGGCTACTGGAACAAACTCACCTATTGTACATGTACCAGAGGAACACCATGCAGAGCATATTCCGCACAGAGGCCTTCTATGTACAAGAACATACAACTCAATGAAAAGAAAACAACAGAAGTGGACTAGGGATAGGTTCTCAGGTATAATGTTATTGTTTGCTTTTTGCAACTCTAACAAGTTGCAACACGATCTATTGTGAGGAACCTGGCTGTGATCAAGAAGTTGGCTACTGGAACAAACTCACCTATTGTACATGTACCAGAGGAACACCATGCAGAGCATATTCCGCACAGAGGCCTTCTATGTACAAGAACATACAACTCAATGAAAAGAAAACAACAGAAGTGGACTAGGGATAGGTTCTCAGGTATAATGTTATTGTTTGCTGTCCAGTGTCGACCAAAAGAGGTTAGGTTCCCCTTTTGAGTCTTGGTTCCTCTCAAGGTTTATTTCTCTTGCTCTCAGGGAGTTTTCCATTGCCAGTGTCACCATTGGCTTACTCATGGGGGCCCGGATTTTATTTCTGTAAAGCTGCTTTGTGACAATACCTATTGTAAAAAGTGCTATATAAATAGACTTTGACTTGACTTTCACTATAATGAAGGCCTAAAACACTGTAATGCTGAACCCAAAAGGGGTAAAATACTGAGAGTGCTACCTATGATATCTGGTACAAAACCCCACCGAGAGACTAGGCCTGAATTCTAAGAAGCCAACGTCAGATGTGACATTTCTCCAAATACAAAGACTTACAAACAGAGATCAGCCGATTATGGGGTATACAAATTGAGATGATCCCAGTTGTCATCGGAGCACTGGGACTTATAAAGAAAGGATTTGATAACTACATCAAGCAGATCCCAGGAAAGATCAACATCCACAAACTCCAGAAGATCACACTCCTTGGGACAGCTTACGTTCTTTGAAGACCCACCCTACCTTTGCTGCAGTAGGTCCATGGTTTGAACCCAGCTCTAAAAACAAACAAGTGAATAATAACAACAACAACAACAACAATAATAATCATCATCATCATAAGAATAATCAACTATAGACGTTCAAATGACTTTACATAGAGATCATTCTTCTTTGTCTTTAACATTCAACTTCATCTGACAAACCTTCAAATGTTCCAAAGTGTTGCCTAACAAGCTGATTCAACATTTCCTGAGTTATTGGCCAGTGAAGATCAATTTCCCTGCTATATGGACCTCTTTAAGACAGAGACCATCAGTCTAAAAAAAGTTCAAGCTTCAATCCTACTGTCAGAAAGTCCTCATTCCATATTAGATCCTAAATTCTAAACTGATACATTCTTCATCATTAATTTTAACATGAGCTGTTCTGGAATGACACGCTGTCAAATTTAGGCCTATCTACTTCAGAATTAGCTCGAACTCAAACATTCTGACTGAACATTTCACTGATATGCTTCATTGATGCACTGAATGTGGATTATTTCAAGATCCATCTCAACATGTACAGTAAGGCAATTAAAGTAAGGCAACTAGTGTTATATAGGGAATCAAAAAGTTGGAAAAGAGCTTCATGTAGCAGAATCACACTAAAACTTGTCAGGGAGTCTTCACATCAGATATAACAAGGCACCTAAAAATAGTCATGTCTCACTTCTCAGACTTTTTTCCAGACTGGTTTCTAATATAGCATGGATAGTACAAATATAACCACAGTGGGCCTTCAGGTTAGTCTAACATAACAGCTGCCCTCTAAATAATGAGTAACTTTACTAAAGAGCAAAGTTGGGTCTTATCAGAGAACTGAAAAAAGGATTGTTTTCTCTGCTAAGATGAAAATTACACCTGTCAATTCTATGTTTCCCAATAGCATTCTGAACTGCCTGTTTTTTGGCACTATTTCTGCTCCAAACATGCCTGGACTTCGTTAATCAGTGTGTGCAGGATGCAGATGATTTGGCTCAGGTGCGCTGGTGTGCTGGAAAGACAAAAAAATGAAGCTTCAAGGACTATAGGACTGTTATAATTTGCTTCCATCTCTTTAATAACTCTACTTTCAGCGTTTGGTTTAGTATTTTTCAGCTTCTCAAGAGAGAAAATAATAATTTCTTCAGTTGAAGCAGTAGTTGAAGCAATACTGCCACCCTGTGGCCAAAAAAACAGCAGTGTAGTGTCTAAATGTCCATCATAAAAATAATAAATAAATAAATAAATAAATAAATAAATAAATAAACAAACACACAGTGCTTCGTCTCATAAAGGCTGAAACCACCCATAAATTACATCCGCTTTGAACAGTTGCAGCACGTTCATAAGCTTCTCTTACAAACTTCACAAACATCAGTCCATTAAATAGTTTACATTACCACGACAGATCTGTAGTTGAGCAGGATTACAATTCATTAATCAATATGTCTGATTTCAGACATTTGCGTCGTTGTTTTACTGCGAGTATAATTCACGAAGGGAGAGGAACCTTTCGTTCCCGTGTGTTTCCTGGGGGACACAGAGCGAGGTGGGGATCCGTCGACCAGAAGCTTCTCTAAAGCTGTTCATAAAAACATTATGCTCATTTCTGCAACAGTTTGGGTACATTTTTAAAATCACTAATCTAATACTAATATATTTCACGGTATTAGTCTTGCACGGTTTGAGTCTGCTAGTTTCTCGTGTTCATATTAATGCGCTAAACTAACTGGCGAGCTAACAAAAGACTAACAGCGACAGCTAACTGAACTTAGCTGCCCGGTCGAGTCTGACTGCAGTAATGTTAGTAGTGTAGCATTCACGTTTCCTGATATCGTATATAAAACCGCAACTTAGACTGGAGTGTGTCGTAAAATAGCTAGTTTGTTTATTGTCGTTATCGTATTATATTTGGCTGTTTAATGTATTACTGAACAGAATGAATACGTGCTTGTTTTAGCTGAGATTAGCTCTTTAGCATGCTAAGGTTGCCACTGTTTATTCTTCAGCATACTAACTCCGCGTCTCTTCTACCAGGTCGAGTTATGAGTAAAGAGTTACAGATGAGGGCCGCAATTAATCAGAAGTTGATTGAGATGGGTGAGAGGGAGAGGTGAGTTCATCACACTTTAGTAACTAGTTAACTATGGACCAGAAAGATTTCCCGGTGTTTTTAACTTTCCTTTGTGTTTTAGGTTAAAGGAGTTACTTAGAGCGAAACTCATTGAGTGTGGTTGGAGAGATCAGTTAAAAGCACACTGCAAAGGTAAGAACAGAGTCGTTCTAGATCTTGGACGACATCGTCCATGTTCTAAACGATTCAGGGGAGAAATAGTTGGAGAACCCACTCTCTTTTAATTTTCCTAATGATACTCAAGGTTGTTACATTACTACCAGTCACAACAACTACCTTTCATATAATTAATCCTTATTTGTTGAATGTTGGGCTCCTGCTGCTTGCCTTTGCAAAAAAGGCCAAGCCTTTCAAATAGTGGCTAATTTATTATAAACGGGAAAATCCCCACACTAATCGTGGCAGGAGTATGGAATATAGGTATTACCAAGAGACTTTAAAAGTGCTCAAAACAACCCTGGTTTTGCAGAGGTCATCAAGGAAAAGGGCATTGAGAATGTCACAGTAGAAGACTTGGTTGCTGGAGTCACCCCAAAAGGAAGAGGTAAGCTTCCACATTCAGTCCCTAAAACCTACACATTTAAAAAGGACAGAGATGTGTGTCTGTTGCACATAATTATGTGCATAGAGCAAAAAAAAATGATACTTTTCTGTTTTTCTCAGCGCTGGTTCCTGACAGTGTGAAGAAAGAACTTCTGCAGAGAATAAGAGCTTTTCTAGCACAGCATTCTACATGATGCATTACTGGGAATATGACCCTATGCCAATTGAAATGCCACAATGTTTGCTGTGAAGTTGTTAGTGTTTTTTATCTAATTGTTTGTCATGTTTGTGGTAAAGAAATATAAGCAAATCAGTTACATGATTTTGTTGCACCAATAAAATTTGCTCATGTTTATACATAGCACAGTGCTTTGAGTTGCTTTCTTTTGCATGGAACTGGTTTTCAGTCCACTGTGTAATAATTAAGTAGAATTTAAGCAGAACTTATTTAAAATTTAGCCTCAATAGACTGTGTGTCTGTTTTAATAACTTACATGTATGTATGTAAGAAGTCATTTTTTGTGTGTGTGTATATATGTATATATATATATATGTGTGTGTGTGTGTGTATATATGTGTATGTGTGTGTATATATATATATATATATATATATATATTATATATATATATATATATATATATATATATATATATATATTTAGAACAGTTACAGAATGAAATGCTTTAATTGCCTACAGAATCTGAATCTTAGGCTCTACTCTCAAGTTAATGCTGATAGAGGTTAAGGGCCAAAAGGGCTCTTTATCTGCATCTTTCATTTTTTTTTTTTTTTTTTTAGGAAAACAATGCAAATGTTACAGCAAAGTCTTGGACATTTGAATGAATACTGCGTGCTGGCCTCTAAGAGTATGAGTTTTTAAATTCAGCATCTCATCAGAATGTAAACATGAAGAAAGCCACTGTGTTTAGCAGTTAGCTTTTAAGAATCAACTGGTTGAAAAGGCATTGGCCAATGTTAATAGTCTGGTTAATAACAATCTAAAATTGGGAATATAACCCAGAACATTTATCTTGTTCACATGTTCTGTTGCGATAATATTAGTTTAACTGCACTAGTTTGTCCGGAGTCTGCAGAGAGAGAAATGTCTTTTACAACTCTGTTTCCGAAGAAGTTGGGATGCTGTGCAAAATGTAATTAAAAACAGAATGCAATTATGTGCAAATATTTGCCAAATGTTTTCAATGGGTGACCAGTCTGGACTACAGACAGGCCAGAATGGCACCTGGACTCTTACTATATACTATCTTTTACTGGAGCCATGTATATGTCATACAGCATTGATGGTGCCATCACCCATGCCATCACGGATGCTGGCTTTTAAACTGTGTGCTGGTAAGCTGGATGGTCCCACTCCTCTAGCCCAGAGGACGTGGCATCCATGATTTCCAAAAAGAATGTCAAATTTTGATTTGTTAGAGTACAGAATACATTTCCACTTTGCCTCAGTCAATCTTAAAGGGGTACTCGATTTTACAAAATTACTTAATCATTCGATGGTTTAGATGTAAACAAACTCATTCAGTGTGGTTTGGTGTGAAATGCGCCCTTCTAGAGAATCGTACCGAGTCAGAGTTGGTCACCATTATAGTACTAGGATCCAGACGTCAGAAGCATTTAACGGCTCCAAAAGCTACATCCCATTAAGTTATTACACACAATGGTTATGAATGCGTTGCTTGATACCTGAGGCATTGTTTTGTGATAGTTTTGTTATAAAGTTTTGATATAAAATGTCTTTTTAATAAAAATAAATAAATAAATACTCCAGGATTACTTCCTGCCGGTGCCATAACAGAGGAACCCAGAGTGAATAGAAACTGCGGGGGTCAACAACAAACTACTTGCTACTCTGCTCACCACTTTATGGGGTAGGACAGTGTGGTGCATTTGTTATCTATGGCAGTTCCTCTGATGAATAATGTTACTTACATTATTCATAAGCAATGAGTTTTGCTCACACCGCATGATTCAATGCCGCCAACCCAAACAACGCAAAAGGCATGCAGGGCGGAGAGGTACATACAGGGTGTTGTAAGGGAAAAAATAGTACCGTTCTGAACCTTGTAATTTGCATAGATGGAATAGAATGCTGAGTACAATATGGAGTACCTGTTAATGTAAAAACATTTAGTGGTATGTTATATGTATTACTGTTTGTGTAGGAAGATTCTGTCCTACTGTTTGTTCTGAGAACATACAGGCATTCAGCAGAAAAGATCTCCAGTAGAGCAACGTAGAGCACCTTGATGGAATGAGCTGGTGGCTAAAGATGCTCCTTCGTGTCATGGGATGTTGAGGGTAGGGGATGAGAGGGGGCAGAATTGTTCAGAATGTTCTCCAATAGTATTACCATCCTCTTCTCTGTCACTGCCTCCAAGAAGTCCAGAGTCCGTCATTTGACTACACAGGTTTGCCTGATCATGGGTTTTTCACTGGATGATTGGGGCACTTGGATTATCCTGTGCATACCATTGCTGTCCGAAGAAAAACATATCTCCAAAATGGTAACTTTACAGGAGAGAGCAAATTTAATATTTCAATGTAAGTAAAGGTAATGTGATTTTATTCCAAGCAATTTGAAGCATTTCTATCGGTCCAATCTTCCTGAAGGTTTCACACAATGTAAAGCTGCAGAGCTCAATTCGGAGGATCTAGTGGTATTCATGAGAAAAATATACACAGGACAAAACGTATCAGGTTCTGAACATTTTTATTTACCACAGGGTGCGAATGATTTTTTGAAAAACCCTATTCATTCTGGCCCTAGAGAAATGGAGCTTAGACCCGGAGTTCGTAATATGGGCATAACGAGGACTACAGAATGACTCACGACTACTGGGGTCTGTAATGTGATTGACAGAATAAAAAGAAACAGAGTAACAGACTGAAAGATAAGCAACATAAGCAACCCATCCTATACATAACAAATGTCAAACAGATGTCAGATGACCAAATCAGATCTTCCTTAGTTGTGACCGAATCAGATTTGTTTCATAATCAAAATCCTACACACTCCCACCTCATCACCACTGCAATGTAAGCGTTCAAAGCCCTTAAATTCCTAAACCAAATCAAAACGGCAAAAACAAATGACATAACTTTGATGTGTTGGGAGAAATTACCACTAATAAAGCCAACCAACCAAACCAAAATGACAAATGATCAATATCATAACACGAAAATCAGTCTACACCTAAATTTAAGTTGTCAAAAAGCTGTCTGTGGGTGTGTAAATGGAAAAGGAGCTAGATCTGTGCTCTAGGCAGTCATAGCCCCTCTACTGCCGGCCTCTGCCCAAGGAAGAAGAGCAGACCTCCCCAGGCAACACCAGTGGGAACTTCCTCCACCATTACCTGAAACAATGCTTCTAATCACCAAACAAAAAGCAAAAAGGTTGAGGTTAATTAACACCCAGCTTCTTGTTTAAATATTCCTGCACCTCACCAGAATGTAACTGCTGCACCATTTAAGGTAGAACAGGAAAATCTGAGTAAGAAGCTGAGGAGTAGCATTAATGTCAGACAATGTTACCAGTATTAAAAGTAGAATTAGGATATTTTGATAGCCTAACTCAGCATGTTGGAGGGTAAGAAGTAATATTAAGCTACGTCTGTACTGAATTGAAATTAAAGAATAAAGTGTTTAACACGTTAAGTTACTGCGCTGTACTAATGATATGCGCATGCTCGGTAGGAACACTCAATGGGTAAGAAACGAAACAGTTGATATTTTGCATTTTTTAACTTAATATCTTAATATATGACAGTGAGACTAGTCAGCATGATTTAAATACACAGTATGAGTTTATTTGCACTCTAAAAATGAATAAACTTCATGGTAACACCTGCTGTTTAAAATCGCTGTCTGCAGTTTTCATCTTTATGGTGAATTTTATACATTTTTATAGTAATATTAAGTTTGTATTAAACCACAATGAGTAGTCTGGGTGACATTAAGACCCAGATGTGTTTCTGGGTGTGCTGGGAGATGGTTTTGGGCACATATGCTGTTAAAAAGATGGTTCTTCAAGGGTTCTTTAGTAAACAATCAACACTCCAAGAACCATTTGCATAGTTCTTTGCATGGTGAAAGTGTTCTTTAGACTGATGCAGATTTAGACTGATGGTTCTTCTATTGTTACAAGAGATCGCAACAACAGCAGAACACTTTTTGGTGCTATATAGAATCATTTTCAAAAGGTTCTATATTCAACCATATACAACATATTCTGCATCAATTTTCACCATGCAAAGGACCATTTAAGCATGCAAATGGTCCTATATAGAACCATGTCTTTAATACAGAATGTGTGAAGAACATACATACATACATACATACATACATACATACATACATCATCTAAACCGCTTATCCTTCTGGGTCGCGGTGGGGTGCTGGAGCCTATCCCAGCTGTCATTGGGCAGAAGGCAGGATACGTGTGAAGAACAGTCTTTTTAAAAAGTGTAGGTGACAACCGACTTCTGTGTTGGCCTAGCAGCTCCAGTTCTAAACTAAAGAATGACAATTTGCACTTCAAACATGTTTTTACTGATCCGGGGTTAGTGGAAAATTGTGTAAGTTAGATTTTTTTTCCCAAAGCTATAAATAATTGGAATTGTGTGCAGTTTACTCTTTCCATTATGTTTGCAGTTCATGTGACTTAATCAAGATATTTCTTATCTGTTCTGATAATGAATTTTCTGTTTTACAGGTTGAGTTTGAATTCATCGATGTTTGGCTGCAATTGTGAACGAGGTGGAGATGTAAGTTTTGCAGTTTTGCCTCATATAATGAAAAGACTATAGTAAACCATTACAAAGACAATCATGGACGTGGAAGACGGGGTTTCAGTTGTATTTGCCCAAACTAATAGTTCTCCGGTCCTATATAGCTACTATTTATTTTCTGTCTGTGTCTCCTCAGATTAGGACAGAGTTCAAAAGTGTCCTCACCGCAGACCTTTTCCAGGCTTTTCTCAACTGACTTGATGGTCTGGTCCAAAAATTGCTGGAGTCGTACCACGCAGCAGCCGTGCCTTGAAAGAAGCAGGCGCTCAAAGGTATTTTGGACTGCCTTGAGGAATATGTAAGTGCAGGATCTGATGGCAATAAAATTTGTCTTTATGTTTTATATTTCATCTCTCACTGTTCTGTATATATCCTGTAGAACACAAATGAGAGGAGAAGGACTGTAGCTTTGCTTGGTCTGCCACACTACCTATTTGAAGATCCAGCAAATACAATCAGGATGTGTGAAACAGGAAAGTGTTCTACAGGATGCCTTTCCTTGAGAGAACTTCAGTGTGGCAGTTGTGGTGGAGGAGACCATTGTACCAGACAA